CCTCAGCGGTGTTGTTTCTTACTAAAACACAAAATTAAGGACCGACCATAAAATTGACAGGTTCCAGAGGTACTTTTTCTATCTATTCTACTACCGGCAAAGTCTGAATCGCTAAATCCCATAAGCTCAGGGTTTGTTTCCCTAGGATACCATAGACCTAAAGTAGGTGTACCTTTTAGGTAACGGAAGATGCGCTTAATGGCACTAAGGTGACTTTCCTTAGGTTTGGACTGAAACCGAGCACACATACAAACGCTAAACATAGTGTCTGGCCTACTTGTCGTGAGATAAAGAAGCGATCCTATCATCCCACGATATTTACGTTCATCAACATCTATACCACCTTCATCCTTGTCTAATTGGATATTGGTAACCATTGGAGTCGGACTAGGATTAAGATTACCAAGATCAAACTTGGTCATCATGGGTTGAGTATAGTTCGTCTGACTAATGAAAATTCCTCTTGAAGTTTGTTGGATTTGAAGTCCTAGAAAGTAAGTAAGCTCACCCATTATACTCATTTCAAAATTTTGTTGCATAGAAGAGGCAAACTCTACACACATAGCTTCATTAGTAGCACCAAAAACTATGTCATCAACATAAATTTGGACAACCATAAGGTCATTGTTACGTTTTTTGAGAAATAGAGTTGTATCAACAGAACCCCTAACAAACCCTTCACTTTCTAGAAATTGAGTTAGACGTTCATACCACACACGAGGAGCTTGTTTTAATCCATAGAGAGCCTTTTTAAGTTTGAAAACATGGTTAGGGAACCTATGATCTTCAAAACCAGGGGGTTGTTCTACATAGACCTCTTCATGAAGGACTCCATTCAGAAATGCACTTTTGACATCCATTTGATATAATTTGAAATTCATTGAGGAAGCAAAGGCACATAACAGTCTAATTGCCTCAATACGAGCTACGGGAGCAAATGTTTCATCATAGTCTATACCTTCTTCTTGGTTATAGCCTTTAGCCACCAATCGAGCCTTATTCCTATTAACCATCCCTTGATCATCCGTTTTAGCTTGAATATCTCAACCCCCGAGATATCAAGCTATTCACACCACGAAATATGATCATACAATTTCGCTATTACAAGGGAGAAGAGAGCTTTGCAAAAAGTATCTTGGCCTACAAATGACTCTACTATTTATAGTTGATGTGAGCCTTCATTTCCTTTCATTTGTAGTCCTTTATGTGGCAAATATCTCCTTGATTTGATACCCTTTTTGCTTGATATGGTAACTCCTTTGAGGGCAAGCAATCACTTTGAATTGTTTCCCTTTTCCTCATCATTGATTGTGATATTTCTGCATAGATTATTAGTTCAACATAATATCATATATTCAAAACAAAATATCCTATGATATTCAATTTGTTGAATAAAGCTTGTTGACTCAACAGTAGGGACATAGTAAGCTTGACTCAACAGTAGGGACATAGTTCATATCAGAACATTAAAGTCACTGGACTTATTGTTCTTGAGTTCCATGACCAAGAAATTATGTTGAATGACCTTGCATCTTGAATTACTAAAATAAAAACTATATAGCAAACCCCATGATAATTAAGAGAATCAAAGCATTGGAAGCATACCATGTAATCTCCAAAATGATGCCGCATACTCATCTGGACTCACCAAACAATATATGTTCTGTAGGATTCAAATTACGAAAACAGAGTTCTGATTTTCAATGTGAAGCCTAGTGTCGAGGAAGAAAAAACAAATACAGTTCCTACCGTAAATTGTGTACCCAACTTTCATCACAATTCACAAGAAATATTACGTATAAGAATCATAGATTCTACAAAATCAGATCGTAGCAGTTAGACAAGAAAATATTCAGTAACTTTTTCAATTGTAAGAGGCATGTGTACGAACATATATATATATATATATATAAAGAGAACAATAACAGGGGTTGGAGATAGCTGGGGAGGGGCAGACAAAGCCATGGATCAATCGGTAAAGGATTAAATTAAATAAAAACTAAATAATTGACGAAGAACCATCATCGAAAGAGTCATACCGAGAGAAGGGTAAACCCCCCACACCGAAGATAAAAACCTCGATCTCGATTTGCGCGGACTCCAATCGTTGTCATTGGAAACCCTAATTTTCCCCTCAAGAAATCTCAGTTCTTGAAATCTAATGTAACCATAAATGAATGGGTTTCTTAAAGGGAAGGGACGTGAGCAAATAAAAGTATAAAACCTTAAAGTGAGTCTTTTGGAAGTGGAAAGGAATGGCGCTGCCGAGACGGCTTGGTGCCGGAATTTGGAGAAGACGATAACTAGTAAATATACAGATCTAGGGCGGATAGAATGATGAGTGACGGAGAGAATAAATGGGGAGATAAATTTCCCTGTTTTTAATAATAAAAAATTGGCTTAACAAATAATAGTTCTCTGTATTCTATAATCCGTGCGTGCTACTTGTGGCAATAGCATTTGCCTGTAATCCCAACACTTGTACCGGCGTCTCTAAATGTTATTTTATTCATTTTAGTTACTCCGCAAATAGCAACAAATAGATAATTGCCTCTAAAACAAACACTTGCATAATCTTTTAATGGAAAAGAATAGATTAGCGGCAGTTAACATTACATATAGTGGCAAACGAGATAAGTGTCTTCATACATTACTTTTCAGCGACAAATATATAAACTGCCGCAATTATGTGCCGCTATATAACATTTTTCTTGTAGTGGCCTTGTCCTAAGCCTTCCTCTTCTAATAAGGCCAAGTCTACTGGAGAGCCTAGTAACACCGGTGGTCTGGTGTTCACTGTGTCCGAGGGCAGCTCCTCGTCTGAAGACTCTGCTGCTTTTGCTCCTACCTCTGCTCCCAAGAGGGATGATCTCTGCTTGTTCATTTTAGCAAATGCTCAAGTAATTTTTGTAATGCTGTCATATAGCCTAGGAGTAGCATAAGTTTAGGGGAATCCTTCCCATTCTGTTTCTAGTCCGCTATGTTTTGGACTGATTTATTTTGCTTTGCTATCCTCTAGGAGTAGCGTATGTTTAGGGGAAACCTTCTCAAGTTCATGAACTTACTTATTTTGTATCCCCTACGTTTCCATTAATGCAATTTCCTTTCCTTCGAGTGTTGTGGTCTAATGTTTGTATTTCTTCTTGTTTCAGGTTCTCTAGACTTGTTGAAAGAAGGGGAAAATTGTTGGCTGAAACGGTACAACATCTTCTCAAAACGGCTACGCTTTTTCTACCTCATGATACAATGGCGTTTTGTTCTTCCAAGTCTCCAAGAAGCCAACAAAGGAATTGAGCTTTTCGTCTTCATCGAGAAAATCTTATGCACCAGCTTCTCTATTCTCTCTTGACATCTTGCTCGAGATCTCTACAGAGTAGGCACCGCCTCTACAAGAGCTTCTGGAAAGGAGTCATCATGAGATCCTAGAAAAACGGTCATCTCCTTCAAACGGCCATCTTCCTCGACTGTCTATAAATTAGGTATTAGCTCTCATTGTAGAATTTGGCGGTTTCGAGTGAGTGAAACAGTAGAGAGTTTTTCTTCTGCATTGGGTCCATTAATTGCTTCAGTAGCTCTCATAGTGTTTGTAAAACTGGGTGACTTGAGATTGGGAAGTAATCAGTTCATTGCCGAGTGTTTAAAGGGCCAGGCCATCTTCCTCGACTGTCTATAAATTAGGTATTAGCTCTCATTGTAGAATTTGGCGGTTTGCAGTGAGTGAAACAATAGAGAGTTTTTCTTCTGCATTGAGTCCATTGATTGCTTCAGTAGCTCTCTCATAGTGTTTGTAAAATTGGGTGACTTGAGCTTGGGAAACAATTAGTTCATTGCTGAGTGTTTAAAGGGCATATTTGATTGGCTCGTCTAGGGTTCTTGTTTGTAATATTTTATCTCAATTATCATCAATAATTTTTTTTTCTCTTTATAAATTACTAGCTTCAAGCTGCATCGTGAGAGTTTAAGTTTTCAAAATTGAGATCTTCTTCCCATTTTATTTATCAATCATGGCCGATCTGATAGCTGCATGGCTCCATTCCGGATGCACGCCTCTCAGCAGCGCAGCTACACCAGAGGCGTGAGGACAAGCCATCAAAGTGCCCGAAATCAGATTGCACAAACAGGGTTATCACTACTCTTTATTTCAGTAGCTAACTCCGTCGTGGAAATCAGTATGCATGGACAACTCATTGACTCTAAGTCGACGCGCGAAGGATCTTTCGAGATAAAAATTGCCCCAACTAGGTTTGTCACTCCGGCGATGGCTTGTATTTGGTCTTCCAAAAACCATGTGTCTTTGCATATGATAATAGCTCGTGGAGCTTCCGAGAGTAACTCGAGAGAGTCGCATTTGGAGAGTGTCTTGTTGTAGATAAGGGTTACATTCTTAACCCATGCATCGAGCGTAAATATGCTCCTCCCGACTATGATGCGTTGTTCTTTCTCCTTGTCATTCCCCATGGTCAAAATCGCGGCAAAAGTGCGGTCAAAATTGCTCGCTGCCACGGTCATCACCCAGAGGATTCCATTATGCAATGGAATCCCATTGGGCCCGTTATTGCCAGCATAGGAGGAGCCAAAATCTCCTTCTCCATTGCACCAAATGAGGCGATTGCGACAAGATCCTCGTATAACGGAACACCGTCGAACCCCATGGAGATGGAGATGATGCCGACTCCATCCTCCATGGCCTGGTCCATTCCAGCGAGCACGTCCGAGGCATAACATCCCTCGTCTCATATAACCTTGTACATGGCCAACCTGGCCAGCGAGGACATGCCTCGAGCCACGCCATCAGCATAGCCGAAGAAGGACGCACCTTCTACATAGTTCCCTGCTGTGGTGGAGGAGGTGTGGGTTTCGTGTCCTATGGTGTCTCGAGCCAAGTTCATCGTCAAGTTGGCTCTTGGGTTGGCTGCTCTGACCCCTTTTTTGAAGTGTCTAGATCCGATGAGTTTCGAGTTGCATAGGGAAGAGTTGAAGTCTTGTCCTTCCTCGCACGTTCATTTCCATTTGGATGGGAGTTTAGAAGAGGCGTGCGTCATTCCGTCGTCGCTGAAACTTTGGCTCTCAGGCCAGATTCCAGTGTCGATTACACCAATGATCACGTCTTCTTCGAAGTTTGAGGCCGGCCAGAGGCCAATTGACGGGTTGAGAGACATGAACTCGGGAGTATAGGTGGTGTCCATCGTGACGAGTTTGTCTTTGTAGGATGACAGAAATCCCAGGAGGTTTTCGAGGGTTTGGAGTTCTTGTTGGGATAAAACAGCGTTGAACCCATGGAGGGCGTTTTGGTAGGAGTACATGAAGGATTTTTCGAGGGACGAGAAGTGATGGTGGTTGTCGTCAGAAGTTGTACCGTCAACCCGACCGAAATTGTACGGTCAACCCTATTTAAAATGTAAAGAAGTGTTTGTGAAACTGTATCGGCAATCCGACCGAAATTGTGATACCCGACACCCTATTCAAATTTAAGTGGTATAACTCTTCATATTCTCATACTTTAGTGGTACCCGAAGTATTTTAACCCTCTACTTACCGTTACTTGTAAGTTGTAACCTCGACATGTGCAATTGGATCTTTCCAGTTATTTAGTGCCCTCCGTTGGTCAAGAGTACCCATATTGACTTGTAGTTGTAGAATCATTTTATTCAACATGAGGCACTATTGAAACCTACAAATTTATTCAACGAAAAAAAACCACCAATTTTTTTTTCATGCAATACACAAACAATATGGTGAAACTGGGCAAACCTCCAAAACCACTAGCTCTGGTTGAGGGAAATAGGTCCAAAAGTGACCTGACGCTAAATTAACCCAAATTTATCCGATTTTAAATTGACCCTGTAGACCAACTCGACCCTCGAAATTGGGCTGGACCAGTGAGTATCTAGTGACCAGGACCAGACTTACACCCCTAAACATGCATCCAATCAGAAGTTGGCGCAACAACAATCGGACTCCTCACATTATACTTTCCTCTTTCTTCAACCCAAACAATCGAACCATACGAAACCATCCCTTCACCATCACTCGCGTACGTTATCTCCACGTAGTATTCTCGCCGCTCGTACTTCTTCCCGAAAAGCAACCTCTGAGGCCACACCGCAACTTTCACTCCCACCGGTGGAGCTACCTTCACTTCGTACGAAGCCGTCGCAGCTCCCACATTGGTCACGACCCTTCGAAACTTGTGCTTCAACATCGCTCCGGTAGTCACATTCTTATCGTAGAACGCCACCAACGACGGGTAGTTCAGATCGAGCGACGAGTAGTTTGCACAATCATTGTCGTTCGATCTCGTGATGGTCATGATCTGATTCCTGGTAAAGTTCATCGAACATAGCAGAGACACGTAGTCCTGTTGAGTCGCATCATAGACGAGACCAGGGTCCATGGCCTTATTCGGAACTATATGGCCCGCTCCCATAGCCAGAGGAGATGCGGCAGTGAAATTTAGGCCAAAGTCTTTGATAGGCATCATAGAACTGTCCAGCCGAGTAGCAGTCGTCATCATGGCCGATCTGATAGCTGCATGGCTCCATTCCGGATGCACGCCTCTCAGCATCGCCGCCACGCCAGCAGCGTGAGGACAAGCCATCGACGTGCCTGAGATGAGATTGAACCCTTCACTAGTCAACAACATATTTTTCCCGACTAAGGCTGTGAAGCCATTTGGGATCCAGGAAGCCAGCACGAGGCTTCCTGGAGCCATAACGTCTGGCTTTAGAATCGCAGGGCAGTTCGGAGAAGGACCTCGAGATGTGTAGTCAGCTACTGAGGGAGCGACATCTTTCCCCGTCACAGTCTGTCGGAATTTGATTGCACCAATAGGGTTATCACTACTCTTGATGTAGTCGATGACTGTAGCCAACTCCGTCGTGGAAATCAGCACGCCTGGACAGCTCATTGACTCTAAGTCGACACGAGAAGGATCTTTAGAGACGAAGATTGCACCAGCGAGGTTTGTGACCCCAGAGATGGCTCGCATTTGGTCGTTTAAAAACCCTGTGTCTTCGCAGACAATAATAGAACGTGGAGCTTGCGAGAGCAACTGGAGAGAGTCACATTTAGAGAGTGTATTGTTGTAGATAAGGGTTTCATTCTTAACCCATGCATCGAGCGGGAATATGCTCCTCCCGATGATGATGTGCTGTTCTTTCTCCTTGTCATTCCCCACGGTCAAACTCGCGATGTAAGTGCGGTCAAAGTTGCCAGCCGCAACGGTCATCACCCACGGAATTCCATTATGCAATGGAATCCCTCTCGGCCCATTATTGCCAGCGGAGGAGGAGACCAGAATCTCCTTCTCCATAGCACCAAACGAGGCGATCGCAACAGGATCCTCGTACAACGGGACACCATCGAACCCCATGGAGATGGAGATGATGTCGACACCATCCGCCACGGCCTGGTCCATTCCTGCGAGCACGTCCGAGGCGTAGCGTCCCTCGTCCCATATCACCTTGTACATGGCCACCCTGGCTCGAGGCGCCATGCCTCGAGCCACGCCATTGGCGTAGTCGAAGTACGATGCACCTTCCACGTAGTTCCCTGCTGCGGTGGAAGAAGTGTGGGTCCCGTGTCCTATGGTGTCTCGAGCCGAGTTCATCGTCAGGGTGACATTCGGGTTGGCGGCTCTGACCCCTTTGTTGAAGAATCTAACTCCAATGAGCTTGGAGTTGCATAGGGAAGAGTTGAAGTCCTGTCCCTCTTGACATATTCCTTTCCATTTGGATGGGAGCTTGGAGGGGTAAGTCATACCGTGGTCGCTGAAGCTTGGACTTTCGGGCCAGATTCCCGTGTCGATTACACCAATGATCACGTCTTCGCCAAAGTTTGAGGCCGGCCAGAGGCCGGTTGATGGGTTCAGGGACATGAACTGGGAAGTATATGTGGTGTCCATCGTCACGAGTTTGTCTTTGTAGGATGAAAGAAACCCCGGGTGGTTTTGAACGGTTTGGAGTTCTTGTTGGGATAAAACAGCGCTGAACCCATGAAGGGCGTTTTGGTAGGAGTACAAGAAGGAATTTTCGAGGGACGAGAAGTGATGGTGGTTGTCGGAAGTTGTACTGGTCGAGGATTTGATGGCGGAGACGATTGAGGAGTGCCATTGTTGATTGGTGGTGAAGTGTTTTGGACGGGAGGATGGGTCTAGGTGGACGATGTACGTGGAGAAGTCATCGGTTGACGTTGCATGGAAACTGAACTCGAGAAGAAGAAGAAGAAGAGGAAGAAAGGAGCAAAGATGAAACATTGTTTTTTCCTCTTTGGTTGCTTGGTGAAGGGATTGGTGCTTACATGAGCATCCCCTTCGTCCTATATATACTGATTTCGATCGGCTGGTTGTGACGTCTTACTAACAACACTTTTACTTTGTACAGTTTTTGTTACTCTTTGTGAATAATATTTGCCATTAGAAAACAAAAACAACACACAATTGTACTTGGGGTTTTATACGGCAGAATAAAATGTCTCTGTCTCTGCTTGATGGGCGACCAGCCGGCTTTGTTAACCATATATACGACTGTCGAGTTTATGCTTTTGGTTTAAGTGTGTTGTAACGATTGACAATGCAAGTTTTGTTCCAATTAATCAAAATCTGGTATGGTTTCTCTCACTAGGTTTACCGTACTACATAGGAAACTCAAATATTTCTGCAAATCCTAAGTTTATAATTAACAACATTGTTGTTGTCACTGATTGATAGGAGTACTAGACTTAGGTGGGTAATCCATATGTGTGTAACTATGAATAATCAATCTCCCTCGATATAAAATATTTTATCACTGATTTTTCCGATACCACCTCTGGTATGGCTTCGCAATTCTCAATATATATTTTATCACTTTTTTCTCCACGGATACTGTTCACAAAGTGGTTTTATCCCATATACCCAATTTTACCACAATTCCTATGTTTTTTATTTTATTTTCAGTGTGTACTATTCATATGAGTTTAATCCCCTACAATCAAGTCTAAAATTCATGAAATTCTACGATAAGTCTTTTTCTTTACATCCAACTTAACATTATACAAAATTTCTACATATCGGTTATTTTTTTCTCCACGGGTGCTGTTCACAATGAGGTTTTATCCCATATATTCTATTTTACCATAATCCTTTTCTTCTCCTTTTGAGCAATACAATTCATATGAGATTTATCCCCTACAACCAATTATACGGTAAGTCTATAACTCATATGAAATTCTACTATATGTCTTTTCGTCTACATCCAACTTAACATTACACAAAGTTTCATATATCGGTTATTAAATATATAATTATTAACTAAAATTCTGTTATTTTCATTGGTTATTACTAAATAATATTAGCAATATTTAATTATTCCTTTACTATTAACCAAAATTCCATTATTGTTAACAAAATAATTAACATGTCATCAGTTCTCTTTATGCAAGATTAGTTAATTTTGACATAACAAGTTTAATCATATGTTACTTTCTAAAATTTGATTTTATCATTAGACCTCACATTGTAAAAGATTTATGCAACAACATTCTATAAGAGTTCTTTATCTCTTACATCCGATTTTACCATAAGCTCTTGATTAGTTAATTAGAAATAACAGTTTAACCATATGTTAATTTCTAAAATTTTATTTAATTATTAGATCACAAATTAGAAAATATTTATGTAACAACATTCTTAACAGTTAGATAAATTAAAATTGATCAATATTACTTACTATAACTTGATTTTATTATTAGACCACACATTATGAAAGATTTACGTAATAACATTCTATAAATGTTACATGAGTTTCCCTTAATGATTAATACACTATGTAAAATTTATGGACAAATAATCATTTATATGTATCAATTAAAAAAAATGATATGTAAGTTTTTCATAATGATCAAACACTACGTAAATCTTATTTATAAATAGTAATTTATTATGTATCCATTAAACAAAAGGATGACATATATTATTCGTAATGATTAAGACATTACGTAAAACCTGCATAAGATATGAATACTTTTGTAAATTATTTGATTTAAATTAAATCATTAGTTTCTTACTACAGTGGAGTGCGAGCCAAAAAACTAGTTAGAATATATAAAGTATAAGTAATTTAAGGGGGCCAGTGGCAACGGTGGATCCAAGACATGGTAAAGCACTGGATCACATTTGAATAGAAAATTAGATATCGTAAGAAAATATATAATAAATATAGTTTTCATTACTATGTCAATTGTACATGACAGTCTTTTAATAAAAAAAAATATATGATAACTATAATTTTCATTACAATGTCAATTGTATATGATAGTCTTTAATTTAGCAAATTCATAGAAAATGGAGTATTAATCCATACCAATAACATCCTCTCTCTAAAAAAATAGTTAAGCAATCAATGAGAAATTCATTGCTCATTTTGTTGCGCAAATAAGTTTTTATATGTTTCATTGCTGGAAATGTTGTCTTCGTAGTAGCCGTTCAAACATGCTAGGTGAACATTAGACGAATCAACCAACAAGTTAGTTTGTATTGTGTGTCCATTCCTGTTTCCACCGGCTTCTCTAGTAATTTTGCAAGAGATCAGAAGAAACTTCATATTCCTGACTATAAATCACATGAGCGGCATAATATCATAGCTCATTCTTCAAAGAATGCATCTAACTAATAGCCTTCAAAATCTTGAGGATAAACTCTTGAACAAGTTTGTAAATAATTTCTTCAAACTTTTAGGATCTAGTGCACCACTCAACTAAAGCAATTTAAATGAGAATTAGCTATATAAACACACTTTCATATTTTCCTAATTCCAATTTTGTACTTCTCATACTTGGACACTAGTTCTAACAATCCTCCATCTAATCAATAAGAGTTGAGAATATATAGTCCAATAAGTAATGCATACCTAAATGTATCTTTTTGATTTGAACTTTTACTTAGTGTAAGTCATTCATAATTTGTATAAAATAAGTGAGGAGCTCAATCCACATATTTCATATATTGTACAATTTGGTATCTAAATTTTGTTTTTAAACGAAAAATATCATTGAAAAAAATTTAATTTGGAATCTAATTTTTTATTATTATGACATTTTAGTACGTAAACTTTTTAAATTATATACATTAGTTCAATTTTTAGATGTCACTTTGATTTGTGATCCAATCCACCAATCAATTCATTTGATCCATGGATCCGCCAATCCATTAATCCAATACAATTGCCACTTGAGCAATTATAATAGAAAATTTTGATTATCATTCTATTATTGTGTTTTTTTAGAATACTTTTTTATAAAGATAAAGCGCTAAATAACTCTTTCTACCGAATCTCAAATCCTGACCCATCCTGGCTTTCCAAATATATTTTTCTCAACTACAATTCTGGCTCTTTCTAAAATATAACAGTTTTGTGTGACTATTACTTTTTTGTTGGTGTATGAAGCTATATATTTTGTACACAGAAAATATATAGGAATTTGATACGGTGGCATGCATGTCACCGTAACTTGCACTTTTAAGTCGACTTTATATAGGATTAGGTCGACCTAATCTGCACTTTTAGGTCGACCTTATATAGCATTAGGTCGACCTTATATAGCATTAGGTCGACCTAATCTGCAATTTTAGTTCAACCTTATATAGGATTAGGTCGACCTAATATGTCGTTTCAGTTTTGTGAGGTTCAACGACGCGGTTGACCTTTTATAGCAAATGGTTGACCTCTTTGGGAAGCGAACAAAATGAAAGGTCGACCCAAATACCTCATAGGTCGACCATTTTGATTAACTGAGGTCGACCGCATAAGTACGAGGTCGACCGCGTGCACACCGTATCCGTATTGGATAAGGATTCCAACACCAGAAAGGTAACCTTAACTTATCTACCACTTAATTCGACCCATTCTCGTCCTAAATATCTATAAATACGAATATATGTTACCTTCACCACCACTGAATTAGGTTTTTTTTTTTTTTACGGTTAGAGCTTTTGTGAAGAAGATCATTTGCGGTTGCTGTTGTACGTGATTCAAGAGGTCGACCACTTGGAAGTTTTGAGTCCTTGTTATCATTATTTATGACTGATTCTGTTGGTTTGAAACGTAATTTGTACGAGCAAAAGAACCACCCACATAGACATACATAAGCAAATAAGGCGCAGGGCATAGGTTAATTTTCTTGTATTCGGTCGACCTCGTACTAGATTAGGTCGACCGCGAAACCAACACTTGATCTTCATTTTACGTCAAATGATAATGGATAAATGTATACAACACTTTTCTTCTATCTAGTCGACCTCTTTCTGTAAATGGTCAACCATTTTGTTAATGACCGCCATCAAGTGGTCGACCTATATACCTTTACGGTCGACCATTTTGCTTCTGATGCCAATGAAAAGGGTGACCGATGTTTTTTTGTGGTCGACCAACAATGACAATTTAAACTACAAACGGTCGACCACTACATTTTAAAGGTCGACCATGATAAGTCATCAGGGTGCCCACATTAGTGTATTCGGAAACCTCACAACACTGAAACGACATGTTAGGTCGACCTAATCCTATATGAGGTCGACCTAAAAGTGCCGATTAAGTCAACCTAATCCTATATGAGGACGAACTAAAAGTGCAAGTTACAAGTGACATGTATGTCACCATAGGCATACCCAAATATATATTCTAGCCATAAGAAGCTAGAAGATACAATATTTAATATTGATGTATGGAGTTCCCTTTCTTAGCTCGCATATATAATCAATGTAGCCGGCTGGCTGGGTTGCCAATTAAGCCGAGACAAAGAGGCCCAAGTGCCCAACCATTTTTTATTTCAATGAGTAAAAACCCCACACGTACAAGTCATCTGCTTTTAGTAAGACGTCTAATCCAGCCGAACTTAGTTTCTGTAATTTCCTTTGGCACCTTCTATTCGTTCCCTAAAAGAACCAAAGATTCGAGTAGAATTTTTTTTTTTTTTTATGAATGATGAAAATTTTACTAGAATTTTTTTTTTATGAAAGATTCGAGTAGAATTGAGAGGCAACAATTTCATGCTAGTTTATCTTATATAAATGGGACGAAAGAGATGCTCAATAAGCAGGGATGAGATGCGTTGCTAACCCTCCAATGGGTTAGTACCGTGCGAACTTCTATAACAGCCATTAGATTGAAATAACCATCTTACGGTCAGAATTAATTGAAGGATAATATAGTAATATAGATGAAACCCTAATATAAAAGGTCTCCACTCATCCCTCTCCACCCTCACGGCCGCTTCCACTCCCCTCTTTTTCTCCTCTCTCTCGACCAAAATGAACTGCCGCCCTTCCTCTCTCTATCAGATCCATTGAACCACAAAAACACAACCGTCAAGGATTCCGGCCAGTTGTTGCTTCCGCACTAGCATCTCTTCCGACCTTCGCCGATGATTAGAGTCGTCACCCGCTCACCGCTTGTGGGGGAATCCTCCATTGGAGAAGGTGTTGATGTGGATTCTTCCATCCTTCGCCTGTGATTTGAGTCATCACCGCTGGTAGATGTGAAACTCGAAATCGATGTTGAAGCTTGTCGTCCTCCGAGTCCGCATTTAGGACACGTTCGGAGATAATGGAGACAGGATCAGCGAAGACGGTGGTGTAATCCTCCATCAAAAGAGCGACGACGAGAGGGGGAAGTAGCAAAAGTGGGTGAGGGGAAGCGGCGGTGCTGTTGGTTCCAGATCCAAGGTTTCGAGTGAAGCGGTTGGTATGATATTGTTAGTAGTGATTTCCGTAGTGATTTTGGGAAGTGGTTGGCGTACTTTTTTGTTGTTTTCAGTAGTGATTTTGGGAAGAAGCTGGGGTGATTTTGCTAGTAGTGATTTTATATGTATTAGTAGTGTTTTCTTATAATAATGAGTAGTGATAAAATGTTACCAATGACAATAAAATCACTACTAATAGTCATAAAATCACTACTAGAAATTTAAAATAGCGGCTATACCCATCAAAATCACTACTGATTTTAGTAGCAGTACTTTTCGACATTTATTTCTTTTGTACGTAGCATCTTTATTAGAGAGAGAAAATAGATATTTCCAAATTTTATTTTTTTCAAATTAATTTTATTTTTCTGAAATACCTAATATACCCTTCACCGTCTGATTCACTTTAAAAATAATGAATAGTGATGAGATTGGTTAGCACGGTGCTAACCACTATGAAGTTAGCACGGTAGCCTGTCCCTTCCCTGTTTCACCTCTGCTCCTTTCTTCTTCTCTTATTCACTTTACATGCCACGTACGTCGTCCACCTAGACCCATCCTCCCGTCAACACACTTCACCACCCATCAACAATGGCACTACTCGAAAGCTTCCTGGGTTTTCTTTCAGCCTACAAAGACAAACTCGTCACGATGGACACCACCTACACTCCCAAGTTCATGTCTCTAAACCCAATAACCGGTCTCTGGCCGGCCTCAAAATTTGGTGAAGACGTGATCATTGGTGTAATCGACACCGGAATCTTGCCTGAAAGTCCAAGTTCAACGACCACGGAATGATGTACACCTCCAAGTTTCCATCCAAATGGAAAGGAATATGTCAAGAGGGACATGACTTCAACTCTTCTGTATGCAACTCCAAGCTCATCGGAGCTATATACTTCAACAAAATGGTCAAAGCTGCCAACCCGAATGTCACCCTGACGATGAACTCGGCTCAAGACACCTTAGGACACGAGACACATACTTCCTCCATCGCAGCAGGAAACTACGTCGATGGTGCATCCTTCTTCGGCTACGCTAACGGCGTGGCTCGAGGCATGGCACCTCGGGCCAGGGTGGCTATGTACAAGTTGAGCTGGATGCATGGGTGAAGGATGAAACCCTAATCTACAACAAGACACTCTCCAAATGCGAGTCTCTCAAGTTACTCTCTGAAACACCACGTGGTATCATTGACGGAGTTGGATACCGTTATCGACTACATCAATAGCAGTGTAACTGTCCAGTGAAGGGTTCAATCTAATTTTGGGCACGTCGATGGCTTGTCCCCATGCTTCTGGCGTGGCGACGCTCCTGAGAGGAACGCATCCGGAATGGAGCCATGCAACTATCTGATGAAGAAGAAAGGAAAGGGTGTCGTGGATTTGAATCTGCAAGAGTAGAGTGCTCAAGGGAAGATGGCGCCAATGCTGCAGAGTTTGATTTCAGAGGAAGAACAGCTCGGTTGAAACGTTTCGGAGTGGCAGCCGTTTCGTTGACAATGGAAGCTGTGCAAGGAAGGAACGACGACGCTTTAGTTTGTTGTTTGTTTTAACTGTTTTATGTTGTTTGGACCAATGGTGTTTAACCACGTCATTGTTACCGTTGTGAAACTGTAAATTCTGAACTGGTATAAATAAACGAAACCCAGCAACAAAACAAGCTGAGGATTCCAAAACCCTTCCTCCATTCCTTCTTTTCTACATCATCAATAGACTGCCTACTCCTGTGCTGCAGAATCAATCCCCATTCCAGATTCTCTATAAAACATCACCTTTCCTTGGCCATTTAAAGGTTTTTGGCTGTTTAGCCTATGCCACCAGTCATGCTCAAGGTAGAACCAAAATGGAACCAAGAGCAAGACAATGCATCTTCTTAAGCCTTCCTGCAGGAATCAAAGTCTATAAGCTCTTTGATTTGAACTCACATGAGTTCTTTGTTTCAAGAGATGTTACCTTTTATGAGGACATCGTTCCATTTAAAAACATCACTGAACAGGATAAGATGTCTGAAACCTCACAGGAGCATTTCTACCCAGCACCTGTTCTGCCTTTTGATGTTCCACAAACTGTCATCAATCCATCTCATAGGAAATCCAGTCATGTCAGTAGTCCTTCCAATCATAGAAATCCCAGTCATGTCAGTAGTCCTTCCTCTTCAACAAAGCAAAATACTCATATTGCTGATCCTAGTTCTTCAAACAGTAATCCTTCTCCCATGACTGATGCATCTAATGTTTTGTGTTCTGAGTCTGATGATGATGATGTTATGAGTAATGTGGAAATGGATGATTGTGTGGATGATTTCCATGAACAAGAGCTTATAGCTCTTGAAGAAAGTGAAGCAAAACAACAGGTTCGAGAAAGGCCTCACAGAAACATTGTCCTACCAGCAAGATACAAAGACTGTAATCTGGGAACAGTCAGTAGGTATCCTATAGATGAGTATGTTGGTTATGAAAGGTTTACTACAGAAAGGAAAGCATATGCTTTAAGCATGACAACTCATCTGGAACCAAGAACTTTTGCTGAAGCTCAGCAAGATGAATACTGGAATAGAGCTACATAGGAAGAGTTGGGAGCTCTCATTGCCAACAACACATGGGAGATATGTAAGTTACCACCTAACAAGAAGAAAATAGGTTGCAAATGGGTATGTAAGCTCAAACTAAGACCTGATGGAAGGATAGAAAGGCATAAAGCCAGGCTGGTTGCAAAAGGATACACACATGTGTATGGTGTGGACTTTCTTGACATTTTTTCCCCAGTGGCCAAGAACAACACTGTTAAAACACTGCTGGCAGTGGCAGCTATCAAGGACTTGAGTCTAGAGTAGATGGATGTTTCAAATGCTTTCTTAAATGGAGATTTGGAAGAAGATGTTTACATGGAGATACCTCCAGGACTATTCATTGAAGGTGGCACTGCTGGTCTTGCTTGCAAGCTAAACAAATCTCTATATGGTTTGAAGCAAGCCAGCAGGCAATGGTTTGCCAAGCTGACAAGTTCACTGTTGAAGAATGGATTTACTCAATAAGCTTCTGACTACTCATTGTTTGTTAAATGGGTGCAAGGCAGGATAGTAGTTCTGCTAGTGTATGTGGACGATATTATTTTAGCACGACACGATTGGGAGACTTAGAAGCTGTCAAACATTACCTGAAAAAGGAATTCAAGATCAAGGACCTAGGTGCATTAAAGTACTTCCTGGGACTTGAAATTGCAAGGAACAAATCTGGAATCAGTGTGTCACAAAGGAAATATTGTATGGATCTTCTTGAGGACACTGGTTTCATAGATGCAAAGAGTTGTAAAAGCCCCATTGATTGCAAGGTTAAGCTGAATGCAAGGGATGGGGAGTTATTGAAGGATCCATGCATCTACAAAAGGCTTGTTGGAGGGTTGCATTACCTTACAGTTACTAGACCAGACATAGCTTACCCTGTCCAGCAGCTAAGTCAGTACCAAATCCAGCCACGAGAACCACATTTGTAGGCTGCTTACAGAGTTCTAAGGTACCTCAAAGGGTCACCAGGGCAGGGGTTACATTTCAAGTCAAAGAGTGACTTGTTATTGAAAGGTTTCAGTGATGCTAATTGGGAAGCTCGCCCTGACACACGAAGATCTATTACAGGCTATTGTGCCTACCTGAGAGACTCTCTACTCACTTGGAAGTCAAAGAAGCAAACCACAGTTTCTCGATCATCCTCTGAAGCAGAGTACAGGGCTCTAACCCACTTGGTTTGTGAGGTGCAGTGGCTGAAAAGGTTAATTGCAGAACTGGAATTACATTACCATCTCCAGTCAATGTTTACTGTGACAACATGTCAGCAATACAGATTGCTGACAATCCTGTTTACCACGAAAGGACAAAGCACATCGAGATCGATGTACACATTACCAGGGAAAGAGTCAAGTATGGGATGATCAAGCTGAAATATTTGAGAAGTGAAGATCAGTTGGCTGATCTCTTTACAAAGGGACTCAGTCGTTACAGGTTACAATTCTTGCTCGACAAATTGGGCGTAACAAATGTATACGCGCCAATTTGTGGGGGCGTGATGAAGAAGAAAGGAAAGGGTGTCGTGGATTTGAATCTGCAAGAGCAGAGTGCTCAAGGGAAGATGGCGCCAATGCTGCAGAGTTTGATTTCAGAGGAAGAACAGTTTGGTTGAAAGGTTTCGGAGTGGCAGCCGTTTCGTTGACAATGGAAGCTGTGCAAGGAAGGAACGACGACGCTTTAGTTTGTTGTTTGGTTTAACTGTTTTATGTTGTTTGGACGAAAGGTGTTTAACCACGTCATTGTTACCTTTGTGAAACAGTAAATCCGGAACTGGTATAAATAAACGAAACCCAGCAACAGAACAAGCTGAGGATTCCAAAACCCTTCCTCCATTCCTTCTTTTCTACACTATCAGATCGGAGCCTGGTCTGGTCTACGATGTGGGGCCGCAAGATTACGTGTCTCTTTTGTGTTCGATGAATTTTACAGGAATTAGATTATGACCATCACGAGATCGAATGGCTATGATTGTTCGAACTCTTCGCTCAATCTGAACTACCCGTCGTTCGTGGCGTTCTACGATAAGAATGTGACTACTGGAGTGATCTTGACGCACAGGTTTCGAAGAGTCGTGACGAATGTGGGAGCGGCGGCAGCTACGTACAAAGTGAAGGTGGCTCCACCGGAGGCAGTGAAAGTTGCAGTGTTGCCTCGGAGTATGGTGTTCGGGAAGAAGAACGAGCGGAGAGATTACTATGTGGAGATTGTGTATCCGAGTGATGGGAATGGGCTGGTTTCATATGGGTCGATTGTTTGGATTGAGGAAAGTGGAAAGCATATTGTGAGGAGTCCGATTGTTGTTGCGCCAACTTCTGGTGGCAAGTAATTAAGCCTTCTGGTTGCTTGTCTGTTGTATCCTAAGGCATAAAAGAAAATGGAGGTTGTCAGCGTTTAATGGTAAATAAAAAGAATTCAGGTTGATAAATGAGCAAGTCATTTTCAGTTGCCCACTCTGAATTCCGGGAGAAGATATGGTGCTAACTTCATAGATAGTTAGCATCGTGCTAACAAAGGGCTAATCAGGAAAACAACTGGAATAAAATTGAAACTAATTCTTATTCTTAGGGAGACGTAAATCTAATTGATTCTTTTTCTCTCTCTAGCGCTCCCACAATCACGTCTCTCTCTTTTCACTCCCTTCATCATCTTTCTCTCTCTATTCCTTTTAATTGCCCTAGCTCCGCCCTGTTGGCCGACAAAATATTTCGTAGCATGGCATTTGTAAAGATTGAGCGACGAAATTGATTGGTGTTGGAGTAATCGTTGCTTAAACTTTTATACAATTTCGATGATCGCAGAAGAGAGTAAGAAAACAACGTCATACCCTTGTCAATGAGGGTTTCTTTTTTTGAGGGTTTCTTTTGTTGACTGCTTGAGTGACCGGCGTAAAAAGACACACTTTGGGTTGAATTATTTTTTTAATTTGAAAAACTAAAATCTATTAAAAGAGATCGCTCGTTCTCTTCTCCCATTCCAGTAAACCTAGCTTTTATCTCACATATTGGTCGGATGAATTCATGTTATTATCATTACTTTATGATAATCATTTCATTCATATTTTCAAATAATTTGGGGCATTCTCAATAGTTTTTTAAAGAGTAGAAAATAATATTTGTACTACTTAATAATTGTGATATTGATAATAATTAGTTCATATGACATTGATAATTTGAGATCCTAAAATGTATATTATATATATGGATCCTAATTTTTTTTATAATGGTCATCTTTTTTTTTATAATTCAAAATCCATCAATCCACGAACTCAATAAATTTGTCACCTCGAATTAAACGTAATGGTCATCTTTGTTTCGGCTTAGTTTATTGTAGTTGTTATATATTCTGCTATTCTTTTAGTAAAATTGACGATTGCAGAAAGTAAAAGACAGACAGATTTAAGTTATTTTTCGGAGATTGAGATTAGTCTATGAATAATGGCTTGACCTAATGATATATCACTAGCGCTAGAACGGGAAGATCTCAAATTCGAATCCGTTAAATAGTACCTTAACAAAATAAAAATCTACAACAATATATTACAAAGGTACCTTAATCACCCTTATAAAAAAGATAGAAATCTACGACATCTATTACAAAGGTAAAGCTCTTATACGTACCTTCAACAATACACACGGGGATATGGGTGAATGATTGGAGAAATTGAAGAATCGATGATAACCTGTTTTCCGGCGAGGGAAATCTGGTGTTTGATTTCAATCAATGCACCTTTGACTTTTTGAACAACGAAAATCAACACGGTCCACTCCTCTCCGAACAATTTTTGAACGAGGGTGTTTGATGTTTTTGATGGTTTTTTGCGAACAAAGCTAAGCTAATTACACCTACTCCTATAGAGGTTCAGTGAGAGCTCCGAAACTAAAAGGTAAGTTGCAGAGAAAAGATAAATTTTGACATTGTGCGTCAAATGTTTGGTTGTGGAACCCTTGCTGTTTTTTTCTTCTCCTATTTATATCCATCTCTTGTAACCGCCGTGTAACCGTCTCTAGTCAACCGCTTCTCCTCTGCTTGGTGCTTGATGTAGCTTGTTTGACGCCTTGTCTGTCTTACGTGCTTGCCACTTGATACATTGCACCTTGATGACTTCACTTGATAGCTAGCCCCATGTGCCATGGAGGTGTCTTGCTTAGTGAGTGAAGGCTTCACGCTTGGTGGTACTCGTACTAAACACCCTGACATGACGTCGTGCTCGACACGAAGGGGCTTTGGGGTTGTTGGATGCACACTGATCCCCATGGGGTGGCATCATGCTTGCAGTGTCTTGACAAACTGGTCTACCACGTGATGATATACATGGCTGACCACTTAGAAACTTGATGACCTTGCACGAGCACGAGACCTGGCATGCCTGCTCGGCTTGGGTACTTGAGAGGTGAGTGTCAAAGTAATGCCGACACCAACTCTCGTTGCACAGCCTCATGCTTGACACCCTAGTGTTTGGTATCCGGTGCTTGAGACGGTATCATGCATGACCCTCCTTCACCTTCTTTTGCAGCATCACGGCTAGGGGTACTCATGATAGCTCTCCTTGCACGGCATCATGCTTGACACCCTAGCGCAAGGTAGGTAGACGGCATAGTGCTTGACCCCCTTGCATGACATCATGCTTGACCCCCCTGGGATGATGTCATGCTTGACCCCCCTTGTGCTATGGGTCTCAGCACTTAGCCAAATTTCACATTCTTTTGTTGCATCACGTTTAGGGGTACTCGTGATAGCTCTCCTTGAACGACATCATACTTGACACCCTAGCGCAAGGTAGGTAGACGAAATATTGCTTGACCCCCCTTTGTACACTATGACATGGTAGGTGGTTGACCTACAAGGGTTTTGATACTACCACGTCTAGGGGTACTCGTGATAGCTCTCCTTGCACGACCTTTGCTTGACCCCCCTTGGACGATGTCATGCATGACCCCCCTTGGACGATGTCATGCTTGACCCCCCTTGTGGTTGGGTCTCCATACTTAGCCAAATTCATGTTTTTCATGTCTTGGTACCAAGCCCTGCCCCCTGGCCAAGGAATTCCATACTTAGCCAACTTTCATGTCTTTTGGTACCAAGCCTGCCTTGTCGGCTTGATACCCTTTTGCTCCATCAGTAGCCAAATTCTATGTCATAGTACCAAGCCCTGCCTTGCCGGCTTGATACCCCGTCGTTGACCTCCTTACTTGGTACCTTGTCATTTGGCACCCAGTTGTGCCACCTTGTTTCCAAACTTAGTTTTTGGGAGCCAAATTTCATACTAAGGGGTGGAGGCATCATCCGGTTATGGGGGTCACGGAGACGGGTCGGCCATCGTATAGCGAAGAAGGGGTTTGGCCACTTAGGCCCAAAAACCCAACCCAATAAGGCCTAAGTAGCTCTTTTAGTTATTAATGTTGAGTTGGCCTTATAAATCCATTAATCCTCTTGTAATTAATCGATGTCGTATAAGCTGCATTTTTTATGGGTAAACAAATGCCCCCAACTACTTAGTGCATAAGGATTATGGACTAAGTAGTTAACATCAACTAAACCACTTAGCTTCACACCTCGTACGTATCAAGCTCACCTCTCAAACCCTCTGGCGGCTGAGCTTTGGGTTATCAAAGTCGATTAAAAGATAAGAAGCCATACTTTTCTCATTCAAACATCTGTAGGACTGCGATCTACTTGCCCCCCCAAGACAAGTTAACTCCTCATTGGCTTTGTAGCAAATTTTATTTTTATTATTGATGAAGTGTGATACCAATCTACTTGGCTTCACTGCCACCCATATCAATGTTATACTTTTATCTCAATATACCCTCCATGCCATGGCTAGCTACACAAGACAGACTTCATCATGAGGGTATCATGTCATGCCGTAGGGTGCGGGCGGCTTGGCATGTCGGCCAACATGGTGGCCTACTAACATTGAACCCTTTGACACCCCACGTCCCAAGGAGAAGGGACGTAAGGCTTGAGATACTTACCATTGATCAATCGACCATGAAACACACCATCTAAATCTTTTAACAAGTAAGCCCCATTGGGTAGGATGGCACGGACCATGAAGGTTCTAGGTCACACACCCTATCTCTTGCTCATGCTCTGTAAGTGGCATGGATCCAAACACATTACTGTGGATTACCATTCATGACAAGAACCTCTCATCACAAGTCTAACAAAAACTTGCTACTTTGACATCTTCTTCTTTTTTAGCCATGAGTGGCCTATTTTCACATTTTCTCTCTTTTGTTCTAACTATTATTTATATAATTAATATAGTAAGGAGTGATAGACGTCACTTATTTCCACACCCTTTGGCAACTACCAATGTGCCAAATGTGTACACCCATTGCCAAATCCATGAATCAAACCAGACCAACTATCCATACACTACATGCCTTCCTTCCTTAAGGAAAGACCATTCCTTTGGTGTTGGTTTCGAATTTTCCAACTTAACAACGAATGGTACCTGATCAACTTGTCTTGCTTTGGCAGGATCGCAAGGGGTCTCATGCTCCTTTGCATGAGCCATCTCGTTAGACACGTCGTTCTTATGTTGAGCCCGATGTTTTTGCCTCATACTGGGTGGCACACTAAAACATCTTCAACTCCTTTGAGTCATCAACAAGACCATGAGTTGTCATTTGTCTTAGTTCACCCTGATAAGACACATGCTTATTCTTCCCATATGGTTGGAAAGATGGGTGTTTGGACTTAAAGAGTTTATGGTCACCATTGTGGCCAACTTGACCATGTTCAACCATTATGTCTTGATGATATCCCTACAATTAGCACATAACCCCCATTGGCCCTTTATGGGACCATGTCTAGTTGGTGTGTGCCGAGACGTCTTATTCCTGCCCCCTTGTCTGCCATTCATGTTTGGCATGCCATGAGGGCTGTTAAGCATGGACTTGCTTTTTCGTCCATCCCTTAACACACTCTCATACTTAGAAACATTTTGAGTGGCTTGGGTGTGTTGCACACTCATATAATTTTCTCCTACTTGTTTCTTCATGGTCGGTGACATGCCCCCATGTCCATTGGTTGGAGACATGCCTCTCATACCATTATTCATGGTTGTTGATGTGCCCCCATTGCCAGACTTAGCCATATTAGTATGCTTACTAAAAGCATGTGTGGCTTCATGTTGTGGCTTATTGGGCACACTTGTCACCCCACTGCTTGTGGTTGGTGACATGTCCTTCATTCTTTTCTTAATGGTCGATGACATGACCTCTTGTCCACTGACTGAGGCTGGAGACATGTCTTCCATGTCATTGTTCATAGTTGATGACATGTCATCTTTACCACACTTAGCCATGCTAACATGCTTATTAAAAGTATGTACGACTTAGACATGTTTTGGATTCTTATGCATGCTTATTTGTCCACTACTTGTGGTTGATGGCATTGCCCCCCTTGCCATACTTAGAAAAATAATGTGGTGTTCTCTTGAACAAACCCCTCTGTACACCTTCCTTGACATCAACATGCCCCCCAGCCTGACACTTCACGTTCAACTTGTCAGGTGGTAGGCTTCTATGCCCCTCTTCCTGCCCCT